CATTTTTAATTTTCACAAAGTCCAGCTTATCAATTGTTTTTTTTCATGGATTGGGTCTTGGTGTTGTATTTAAGAACTTTTTCAAACCCAAGGTCATCCAGATTTTCTCCTATGTTATGTTTTATGGTTTTGTCAATTGCTTTTATTCCTATAATTCAATTTTAGTTAATGTTTGTGAAGAATGTAAGGTCTATGTCTAGATTTGTTTACTTATTTTTGCATGTGGGCATGCAGTTATTTCAGTACCATTTGCTGTTCTTTCTCTTTGCTTCTTCCAGGATTTTTTCTTTCTCTTTATTTTCCTCGATTTGAAAATGAGATGCCTGGATATTTTTGGGCTTTTATCCTGTTTGGCATGAGCTTCCCGGATCTGTGCTTTGATATCTGGCCATTAATTTGGAGGAAATTCCCAGTCATCATTGTTTCAAATATTTCGTCTGTTCTTTTTTCTCTTTCTTCTCCTGGTATCCCCGTTTATGTCTATGTTACAACTTTTGCAATTGTCTTGAGTTCTTGAACAGCATGTTTTATTTTTAAATTCCAGTTTGACCCTTCTGACATCCTGCCATTTGGGTCTGTCTGATACTTGCTCTGTCTCTTCAAATTGTGCTTTTTTTTTTTTTTTTGCCTTCCAGAATGTCTTCTTCTTCTTCTTTTTTTTTGGTAAAACCCCAGATATGATGCCCCAGTAGAATTCCTGAGAGATTTCTGCTGCTGGGTCTCTGATCTGCTAAGTTGAGATTCTTGCATCCACCTGTCTGTCCCTCCAACTTTGGGGGTAATTTGCCCTGTGACCTGAAGTCTCTGACAGATCTGAGAAGGGTTGTTGGTTTTCAGTTTCTTCAGCTTTTTACTTGTTGGGATGGAGTGATGACTCCCCAACTCCTTGTCGGCTGGACCAGAAATCAGAAGTTGCTCAGAGTAGTTTAATTTGCATTTATCTAATTATGATGGAAGTTGAGCACACTTTCGTGTTTTCTTCTGTGCAATGGGCATTTGATTCCTTCTATGTACTTTGCCCATTCATATCCTCCTCCAGTTTAAATGTCAAATTATTGGTCTTCTTCTTTATTTTCAAGAACACTTTATATATGAGAGAGCTCAGATCTTTGTGAAATAAGTTGCATTCCTCTCTCCCAATTTTTCCATTTGTCTTTTGACTCTGCATATGGTATATTTTTGCCTTGCAAAAATGTTTACTTTGAAGCAGTAAATTTATAACTATTTCAGTGGTTTCTGGATTCTGAGTCAGAAGTGGATCTAAAAGATTTTGAAATCCAGAGGAATGTTTTTATCATTCTTGTTTAAAATGCCATACCCCCAAGCCACTTCTGTCTCTTAAAAAAGTGTCCATCTTTCTCTGCAGAGCAGAGAGAGTCCGTGGTGGCAAACTCCCCTGTGAGCCACTCACTGTGGAATGACAGGCCCCAGAGGACTGAGGCCAAGAGAGGAGCAAGAATCCGCTGTGCACAATAAGGTAAGAGTGTGCCTGCTTCTGGACGTTACCCTGGGAAGGGCCCCAGGGAGGAGCTGAGGAGGAGCAGAGCTGGGCCTGTGGATCCGCCCATGGAAGATCTCCAGGAGGGGTGGGCTGGGCAGTTGTATGTCACCTGCCACACTGTGTTACTAGTTCTGCACAGACACAGCCACAATGAAGAGTGGGGTGAGGTGTGGCGGGGACAGCAGAGGCCTCAAATGGGTCCCCAAAGAGGCAGGTGAGAAGTTCCAGCCAGGGTCTGACTCAGGAGTGACTGTGAGACACTCTTTTTCCCAGACAGAGAGAGAGGAAGGGGTGAGGGGAGAGGGAGAGACAGACAGACAGACAGACAGACAGACAGACATCCATTGGTTGCCTCCTACGCACCGTGACCGGGGATAGAACTGCATTGAAACCTAGGTGTACGCACTTACCCGGGTTCGAACTCGCAACCCTTTTGGCGTGTGGGACAACGCTCCAACCAGCCAGACCCGCGGGCCAGGGCCCCGCTGACTGTGTGTTGACATGTGCCCCAACGCCAGGAGGCAGCAGGGCAGAGTCTGTTCTTTCCACGAGAGTTGCGAGCTGGGAGGCTCCACGGACCTTCCCTCAAATCCATCCGCTCCTCCTGCAGCCTCCCTGCCTGTCTGGGTTCCGCTGCTACTGGCAGAACTTCAGTGCAAGAACTTGAGCACCTGAGGGCTTCGCTGAGTCGGAGCAACCTGTGCATCTCGGAGGGCGGAGCCTCCGAGCTCTGATTCAGGTGGGACTGAAAGCTGCCCTGGGCTGGGGCTGCAGCAAAAGCCCTGGATTTGTCCTCCCGCGCCGCCTTCCACCGCGGTTCATAGACTGAAGCTCTGTGAACCCCTGCGTTACATTTGCAGTGCTCCGAGGCTGAAAGGGTTCCTGTAAATGCTCCCTGTAATTAATTACAAACAAAGCAGCCAGCCAGCAGCACGACGCCCCCGAAAAGCCGGCTCTTTATTTCTCCTCTGCATGCCCATCCATCCCCAACTCCAGAAAAGTAGTCCTCCTTAATGACGGATCCGTGATGATGGGACCATTATATTCTGATGCTGTGGTTTTAAGAAGTGACCCAGAAGACAGGCTCTGAAAGCCACCCTTCCCCACCCCCCTTTTACCCCAAGCAAAGGACCAGATTAAAAGAGCCCTTGTTTGCATGAATATTTATGCTGGATCCTCTGCAGATCAGATCGGGGGAGTTCATCCTGCCAGGCAAAGACAGATCCCGTGCTCTGATTTAATGAGCAGCTGACACGTTTGTAGCATACTGATGCATCTGTTTGTCAGGAAGGCCATGCAGCACGGTGAGTGTGCGTCTTGGGGCCAAAGCGAGGTGCCACCAGGAAAGCTGTCGCCGGAATGAGGATTCCCCAGACACCCTGTCTCAGGTGGAAGGCGAGGAGCGGGAATTCTAGTCTTCACATACCTAGGAAGCTGCTCTCGACACCACCAGCGAGTGTATTGGTCAGAGGTGAACTCTTTTTGTTTTTATTTTCTAAAAAGATGTTTATTTATGTATTTTCAGAGCAAGGGGAAAGGAGGGAGGAAGAGAGGGAGAGAAACATTGATTGGTTGCCTCTTGCATGCGCCCCGAACCAGGGGCTGAAGGCACAGCCCAGGCCTGTGCCCTGACCGGGGATCGAACCAGCAACCTTTCGCTTTGTAGGATCATGCCCAACCCACTGAGCCACACGGGCCAGGCCAGGCCAGAGGTGAATTCCTCTAACCAGCATTTTTCAAGGTGGGTGCGAAGAGCTTGCTGCCCGGCCTGCAGGCTGCTGATAGCTCCCAAACAAGGAAAGGGCTGTAGGTCCGAAGTGTTGGGTCAGCGGTGAGCTGAGCAGATGTTTTACTGCGGAACTTCCACCCTGTGACTTTCAGGGAAGCAGAAAAAGGAGGCCGTGAGTCCAGACTTCTAGACTGTGGAGTTCTTCCTTCTCAAAGCTCCCTCCCAGCACATGCGCCCCCCCACCGGGAGGCCGGGGAAGCCTGTGGACCCCCTCTCAGATCCACATTTTTAAATACAAAAAAAAATTTTAAACATAGAGGGCGGCAAAGAAAAGCGATTGTGCTGAAACCAAATGTCACACTGCTGAAAATATTTTGCAATATTTAAACATGGGCACACACTAGTATGTGGGCTTCTTTTTTAAGGGGTCTGGTAACCACCGTTGTTTCAGAATATTCATGGCCGTAAATGATATTTCAGGATATGGTCAATACTCATTATTTGCAGATTCTGTATCTATGAATTTGCCTACTTGCTGAAATGTTCTTGTATCCCCCATTCGACCGACCAGTGGAAAATTTCAGTCTCCCGCCCTGCGAGTCCCCGGCCGAGGTTGAATAAGGCAGAGCTCCGCCTTTCGGAAACGAGGGTTCTTTTCGCGGTTTATTTGTTGCCACATTTCGGGCCCCTCTGTGCTTCTCGTCGATGGTTTCCCTGCTGACAGTGTCACCCGAGTGGGATGCTATAGCGCAGTCCAGTGTTTCCAAGGACAAGGAGGCCGCGATGGGCCCTGTGTGAAGACAGACAGACGTGTGGACAAGCTTCTTCTGGGTGTGAGTCCCGGGGCTGCTGGCCCTCAGTTCAGCGATAATCCATCAGCTGTACCTGGGACAAGGCACCTGTACACTGGAAGCACTCCTGAAACAAGGTTCTGCATCGATGGGCCGATGACCACGTGGTGATGGGAGGGCTGCTGGGCTGTCACCCGTACTTCTCGGCCAGCCTAGGAGCAAAGGCTCAGTGCCAACTGAGTGTTCGAGGCAGCCGTATGGCTGAGCACAGCTGTCACGAGTGGTAAGAGTCGATCGTATCTGCAGCAAATGCAATGTGATAGGAAAACATTCGCGGCAGAGACAACAGCAGCAAAAGCAATGCAAGATGGCGAACTTCACTAGTATTCTCGGAAATAGACAGGAGAAGACCCGTAAAGGAACTTGGAAGCATTTTAAAAAGAGGGTGGATTGGATAGAATTCTTCCTAAAGGAAGACAACATTTCAGCGCCGCATTCTCTGGGTGCATCTTGACACTGAATGATTAAGATTTCAGATTAAAAAAAACCCCAGTAACTAAATAACATTATGACAAGTACTGGTATTTTGGTGCTTAAAAATCACAGGAGATGTTGGAACACAAGAACCAGTGATGTGATTAGCAAGATGCCGTATGTGGGATGTGGAATGTAGGAAGAAGTGTCTGTTGACAGGGGTGTCAGGGAGTACACAGAGTGCCCCCCCATCTGTGCGTGCCACCAGAGATGGGCAAGGGAGGCGACCTGCCAGTGAAAAAGGGGCACAATCAGATTTTTCGGCACTCCTGTGCCTCGGTGGCCAGAAAACTTCCACAGCACGGCACACAGAGTGTGGGTCCCCCCATGGCTCCCATACAAAAGAAACTCGATACAGGGCTTCCCCATGTCGCAACAATCCTGAAACTGTGCGTGACTTCACTGATAAGAAATGGTGTAAAGAAACTCAACGACATTATCAACCACAAGCAACTGCTTTTATTCTTCGGTTCCATCTGCAGACAGGGGCATCATCACAGAACCACGACAAGTACTGGTTCTTGGGGAGCAGGCAACCTGGTTGCTCTGCCCAAGAATGTCAGACAATCTTCCAAGGAAAGGAATGTTTTCTAAGGAAAGTCATTGTCTTCTGACCTCGTGGGGGTTGTGGTGTTTGTCAACTTAAAAAACGCGTACATTGCTGTGATTTGTTTTCTGTTTCTAAGTAAATATGCAGGTTTGTACCTAATTTTCTGTTTATAGTTTTTGGGGGTGAGCGTCTTTGGCAGCCAGCCAGCAGCCTTCCCAGGAGGAGCCCTCGTTCAGGGTCGCCAGTGAGGCCGGGTCAGTCCCTGGCACACTGAGACCCTGACCCTGACCGTGACCCTGACCCTGACCTCCACCCTGGATAAGCTGCTGGATTTCCCATTTGTCCTTACAACAGTTAGCCATTCAAGGGCACAGATGCTCCCTTGGTTGGAATGGCACCCGAAGCACCTGATTCAAGGTGACATGCGCGTCGGCTGGGGGGAACTGAGACCCCAGCAGCTCACAGAATCACACCGTCGTGCAGATAATGCGCTTAAAGGGGGAAACCACCGCAAAGGTGCTGCTGCGGAGAAGCTGCGAGTCTGGGAGAGCGCAGCCCCTGCAATAAGCTCCCGTGTCCCGGAGCTCCCAGGAGCGCACGTCCCTCGGGCACCTAGTGTCCCCCCTGGTCTCCGAACACCTGTTCAATCTGGGGGTTGAATGGATTCTCCTTTCCCAGCGCCTCGGGCCACCGGAGCTGCACCTTGTCCCAGAGCCCGTCGGCCAGCAGCTGCAAAGCCACCTGCGGAGAGGAGGGAACCACAGGTTACAACCGAGGAAAACACCGACCCGTGAGGTTTCCTCTGTCCTCCGTGCGGCGGGCACGCTCTGGGACGGCCCCCCGGGACTCCTGCCTCCGTGTCTCTGTGTGCTCCCGCTCCGTGGCCCAGGGTGGGACCTGACGCGTGGTTCTGGCCAGCAGAGTGCGCTGGGGATGAAAGGCTGTCACTGGAGCGAGGATGTGGCGTCCTGTAAGATCCTGCTCTGCTGGCAGCGTCCCTCTGGAGACCCCCCAGCCCACCCCACCACCGGTGCGTTGCTGCAGGAGGCAGCCCGCATGGCGAGGGGCTGCGGCGGCCTCCTGCTGGCGTCCGGCGAGAAGCTCAGTCCCACGACCGCAAGGAAATAAATTCTGCTGACAACCCACGAAAATGCAAAAGCTATTCTTCCCCTGTCGAGTCTCTGGGTGAGGACGTGGCCTGGCCGACATGCCTGGACGTTAGCCTCGGGAGACCCTGTGACCTCGCGCCAGCCCTCCCGACTCCCAGAAACCGTGAGGTAAGAAATGAGGATTGTTACGCTGCTCCCTGTGTGCTCACTGGTGATTCAGTGATGGCGGTGCCCTCTCCCAGAGAGCCATTTGTCCTTCACCTGCAGACAGCTCACGTTTACTGCTGGCCTGAGGCTGGGGTCTGGGAGTGGGGGGCTCCCAGTCTCATGAGCGAACCAGGCAGGAAGGGGTGGGGGCGCCGAGTCTGCTGGGGTGGGAGGGGACAGGTCTTCCCAGAAGAGGGTGACGGCTGAGCTGAATTTTCAAAGAAGGGCTCACCAGGTGGGTCACGTGGGGAGCAGTGAGAGGGCAGAGGGCATGCCGTGTGTGTGCAAGGGCACACAGGTGTGGTAGGAGTGGCAGGTAGGGGACCGGCGGGTGCCCGGGGGGTGAGGCTGGCCAGGCAGCAGGGGCCGGTGGGACTGGACGGCGCTGTGGGTGCGGAGTGGGGCTGGAGGCCCGTGTCTGGCCCCAGCCCGATGCTCACTCTGCGGCTGCACTAGCAGGATCCATTGTCCAATCCTCTGGCTCGTCTCGAATGTGCTTTTGACCAGCGGTCTTCCTGGGCAGATAACACCCTCATTCAGTTCTCGAGCGGGGCCTGGCCGGGCCTGCAGGCCCCAGCTGGCTCGGTGGGCACTGGGGCTTTTCATGCTTGTGGTGCAGGAACCGCGATGGCCGGTGGTCTCAGAGGGGGACGCATTGCCCCGGGAGGATGCGCGGGGCCGGCCTGACTTTGCTCAGGGCAGGTGGACCTCGGCCCCAGGGGCAGGCCCCGTGCCCCCTTCCCACTGGCACTGCCTGTGTGGCGCTGGGCGGCCTCCTCCACCCCTGGGGCTGCAGTTCTCTCGTCTGCCAAGCCGGCGGGCGGGAGAAATGGTCGAAAGGCCCCTCTGGGTCTCACTTGTGTGCCAGGCTTAGCCGTTGTCGGGAAAAACAAGAACTGATTGAGTTGCTGCATTAAATGTTCCCAGCGTATCAATACGCTCCGGAGCCCGCTGAGCTGGACCCCAAGTCCCGGCCATCTAACTCTGTAATCTCGGCCACAGCCCTGTGGTGTCCAGCACACCACACACACACACACACATCACATCACATCACACGCACCCCACACTGCACACACCACCTACACCACACCCACCCACACGGGCTGACTGTCCAGCGGCTGTTTCTGGGTGGGGCTGACCCTCTGACCCTCACAGCGGTGGCGGCCTTTGAAGACAGAGGCGGGCCTCCCGGCGGTGTCGCCTGCTATTTCCCCACACGGAGCCTGCCGCTGGGTCTGTAGAGGACTAGGGGTTGCTCTGTTTGGTCTGTGGCCTGTGAGCTTGACACCCACACGCTGTCCCCCCTGACAGTGATGTGGGGCCGAGGCTTTGCAATCACCCACCTCCCTGTCCAAAGCGACGAGGCAGCAGATGAGGCAGAGGAGACGATACACAAACAGAGGTAAAAGGACCAAGCTCAGGCTGGAGCACGCGGCGGCCGCTTGGTTCGAGAGCCATGGCCGGCTGCCACTCCAGGGGGGATGCAAATATCCGAGTGCGCGTCGCTAATACCGTGAGTTTAACAGGAGAGAGGCGTTGCTATCACTCAACCAGAGACGTGTGATAAAAACGACCCACTCTGATCAGTCATTCCTCTGAGGGCCATTTCCTGAGCACCTACTGGGGGGTCGTCCCAGAACGAGCCTCCTCTCTCGTAACTCCCGCCATACACTGGCACAGGCGGGGGGTGGGGGATGGGGGATGGAGGATGGGGGTGGTGTGCAGCCCTACTTCTCTTTCCTGACTCCAGACGAGCTCTTCCCCAAATGCAGGCGGTGATGGTGCCCTCTCAGTCATAGTTTAAAATGGTAAAGCAACGCCAGCTCCTTTGAGAAACATTTAAAAAGGCAATAGGGCAAGAAGAGAGAAACCCAACGAGTGAAAGTCCATCTGCAAGTGTAATAGAGAGAGACGCCGCTAGCACCGGGCGTAGAGGCTTCCTGATGCGCGCGCGCGCGCGCACGCGCACACCACCTGGACCCCTCCGTGAATATCATTCCGCAGCCCCTCCCGCCGCCGTGTAATTTACACACAGGGACGTGAACTCCGGTTGGCGCGCAGTCCCGTGGGCGCTGACAAGTGCGTGGAGTTGAGCCATCACGCCCATAACCATCTTTAATCTGCCACCATTTACTTGGCTCTTACTGCAAACATATTTCGGTGTCACTAAAGGTAGACCGAGACCGCCGGTTTCCCTCGGTGCACCGCATTTCATCAGACGGATGCACGCTAATTTATTGTGCCCGCGGAGACGTCTGCCGCGCCTGTCCCTAGCACTTGTCATCGGGACCGGGGAGGGAGACAGGGTCCTCCTGCCCGTGCACAGCGGGTGGGGGAGGGGTCCAGAGCCTGCCGCGGCCACTCACCCTGCTGCACAGGCGCGTGGGATGAACTCTAGCCCCCCAGAACCCCGGCGAATTTGGGGGTTCTGATTTAGTGGGATCTTCCGGTCAACTGAGCCAGGCCCTGCGGGTCTCGTCTTTTTTCGTGGACTCTCTCAGGGCCCGGTGACAGGGCCCAGACAGCTGCCCCGTGGGCGGTGCTGGTTTGTCCAGGCATCATGGCCATTTGCAGCACGCATGGCCCTTCCTCAGGTACGCCCACACCTGCCGGTCACCGGCACGTCTCTGCCGGGCCCCATCCAGGTGCTTCTGCGGCGCATGGCCACCTGCCTGTCTGCCTGCGGCTGCTGCTGCTCAGAAACGCCCCTGGTGCCCGAACCAGGTGGGGGTGGCTGGTCCACGGTGAAGGCTCCTCTTTGAAATTCTCACAGAAGGGGAGACTGAGCGGGGCGACTTAACACCCCCTTGGCTGATGGGAGGTTTTGGTGAAACAGCCCTTTCTGTTTTTACTCAATGCTCCCCATCTCCCCAGGATCCCAGCGTGAGGTCATAGCGAGGGGAGGGGGACCTGCTGCCGTTTCTCGGTTGGGCCCTGGTGACAGCCTCCTGCTGGCTTTTAGGATTTCCCTCCTTCTGATAATAACTTTTAAGTTGAGCCAGGTGTCTTTGCTGACCCACGTTTGTACTCATGTTCAGTGTAAGACACGCCCAAACCTGGAGAGAATTTTTATAGGATTGTATGTGCGTCTGATGACAATTGCCGGGGAGCAAGATCGCAGATGCTCTGGGGAGTAACAGCCTGGCAGTTCTGTGTACGCACTTGGAACGGAGGGAACATGAGCAAGACCCCATGAGGGTGGGAGAAGGCAGAGTGGGGATGAGGTTATGGGGTGGTCAGCGAGATTCTGTGCTCTCTCCGGGGTGGTTTCTCTTGTATCAGAGCTGCGTGAATCTAGTAGATGCACAAGGACGATGGGCAGGGCTTGCTTAAGGGAAAGAGAAACCTGTTCCTGAGAAGTTATGCGCTGGGGTGTGACTGCCCACCAGGACCTGCCCATTTAGGAATTTGTGGTCGGATCCCCCTGAGAGGTCCCTTCCCATAGAACCCCCCTTCTGTCCACATTAGGGTGCGTTCTTCCCTAGGGGCGTCCCTGGTTCTCCAAGCAAATGCACTGTGTCAGGCAGGTCCACCCCACCTGTTCGTGAGATGCGCCCGGACAGGACGGAAGCCCAGCGCTGGCCGCGGCAGACGTTGCCTGGAGTTCCCCCACGCTCCCGCTTCGTGGGCTCACTGTAGATACTTTGCTCCGGAAACAGAGCTCTTGAGTCAGTCGACCCTAAAATCAAACTCTGCAGAGTAGCTGCATGTTGGTAATACTTGCCAGAGAGAAATGTAATTCAGAGCCAGATTATGTAGTTTGGGCCACAAGCTTTTCATGGCTCCGCCCCTGTTCCATTGAACCCTTGCTGCACTGGTCTCCAGGGCGCTGCGAAACCAAAGTGAGACACTCGCCCTGAATCTGTCTGTCCTGCGGGATGCAGGCTCCGGGCGACGTCGGTAGGATGCGCTTCCACACCTGTCCACAGGGCGGGCCTGGCTTTGCTTCTCCGGCTTCTTCGCCTGCCCGGGAACACGGTCGAGGGGGCTTCTGACCCCTTCTGGTCCCCTTCATTTTAAATCTGTGAACTTCACCGCCTGACTGTGGTAAGGCGTACGCGACACTGAGATTTAAGGCTCCAGCCCCTCTGTCTTGATTCAGTATCGGTACCCAAAACACTCGTGCTTGTCGGTACACAGCGCAGACAGAGAGACCTGGTCCCTGAAGGTGTGGGCGGGGCCAGCTGAAAGTGACAGCTGTTTGAGGGCTCCCGGGACCCTTGTCACTGACAGCAGAACATCTTTGTTTTTGTTTGTTTGTTTTGAAGGAACCTACAAGTCTGTCCGGGAATTTGGGTTCCCAGGAGCTTACCTGTTGAGACAAATAAAAACCTGGGGGCCACAAACTTATTTACAACCAGTCCACTGAGTATATATATCTTGTCTGCTTCATGCAGTGTACAGGGCTCAGGGCCCCAGAGAGGGGAGGGGATTGCCGCCATGGGACGTTTCGTGCTTGCAGGGGGCTTTTAAGAAGATGGTTGGAGTTGCTATGGGCACTTGAGCGGAGAGGAGGTTGCTTTGCTTAGAGCTGTGCTGGGCAGAGCTGCTAGCACAGGAGGTGCCCGGGGTGTTTGGCTGGGTGGTCCTGGGGTAGCCGAGGGAGCTGGCCTCCCCGTGTGTCTGCGTCTCTTCCAACGTTCCCTGTTGACCGTGGTCCGATTTCAGGCCCCAAGATCTGTTAAGCGCCTCTTCAGAGGCTTAGCTCTGCAGAGATTTTGAAAAGTGGTGGTTTGAAAAGGTCGCCTGGCTGCATCTGAGTCTGGGGTCTTTGCGAAATCAATTTCCTTTCCTAAGGCAAAATTTCTTTGCATTTTTGCCAGCAGTCACACTGTTATTCCCAGCTCTCTGCTCCGCCCGCTCTCGCCAGAGTCACCTCACGTTCTCCTTGGCCTTCCTCCCGGGGAGTTCTTCTGCGAAGAGCCGCGATGCCTGCCCGCCTTGCTCAGTCACACCGGTATAGTCCCTCTCCTTTGAGTGTGGCAGGACCTGTCACCTGCGTTTAATGGTGGCCCCTCCCCACGAACCAGCTAGGAACTGAGACCCTCAGTTCAACAGGCCTCAGGGAATCCAATCCCACCAATAAGCACGTATGCTCAGAGGCAGATCCCTCCCCAGGCTAGCACACAGTGAGACCCAGCCCTGGCAGACACCTTGCTTAGTTACAGCTTGGGGTGGGTGGGGTGGGGGGGGGGACACTGGGGCGGAAGACCCCGCTGGGCCGTGCCTGGATTCCTGGCCACGGGAGCTGTGAGGCATGAAATGTGTGCCGTTTGAAGTACGCCGTATGCAACAGCCGGTAACTAAAACACTTGTCAGCCTTAATCTTCCGGGAGCTGTACTTTCCTTCGCAATGTGACGACTTGGGCCCATGTCATCTCCGCAAGTGTCTCCGGCTCTTCCCTAGAAGCTGGTGGTTCCCTAACCTGCCTCCAGGCCAGACCCTCTGCTGAGGTCAGAACCCGTGTGTTTGATCCAGTGGCCGTTTTGAGAGTCCCGTCCAGACACTGTGCAGGCAGCTCAAACCCTGCGCGTCCGCACCTCCTTCCGCCGAGTTTCCTGACGTGGCCGTTTCCACACCTTTGCACCCAGCCGCCCAGTCCCGGGAGTGGTCTCCGGCCCCCCTGCCGAATCCCAGCAGCCAGCAAGCCTGGCACTTGAACTTCCTTTCTGCCGCCCTTACAATGAAAAAGGCAGTTCTCGAAATTCTGCTTCTGCACCTTGGGACGGAGCTTAAAGGTCAAATAGTTGTAAGTCTGTATGTTGGGAATTTTTCAATGTTTGTTTGTTTGCCATACAAATATAAGCAGAGGTTTGGTAGTGAGTATACTTCGGCTTAAAAATGATCAGGTATGAATCATGACTTTGAACTGTTCAGCACAACCCGTGTTTACATCTATTAAACGTGTTTCCCTAAAATAATTGGAGCAGCCGAACCAGTAGTAAGTACTAGGTACTTCCTGCTTCTCGGTCAGGGTTTTAGGACAGAATGGGCCAGCGTGGCGAGGGCTGGGCCCCTGCTGGAGGAAGGGGACCTCCACTCCGCATCTCTGCCCCTCCGTTCTCCTACCTGTCTGGATGAGTGTGGCTTCTTTAAATCCTTGGTTGTCAGACCTCCACACGGCTCAGTCTTCTGACAATGCTGGGTAATATTTTCTCTGTACTGTAGCTGTGTTTTTTGCTAATGTTGTGTGCGGAGGCGAGGCGTGTGTACCTACACCTCCGCCTTGGCTGGTGGTCCTTCTTTTAATATTATTTTTGTAATAAAGACACATCATAAGTCAGTCCACTATGTGTTACAGATGAAAATGGAGCTTCCCTGGGTTGCACAGGGTTGTGCAGGGAAATAATATTTCCCTGAAATGCACAGGGTTGAGGCAGGGAGGGACGGAGCTCTGCTGTCCATCCCCCTTGCTTTCCTCTCACAGCATCCTTCCTAGAAACTTCCGTGGAAGAGATGTCTCACAGGGCTCGCTTTCAGGAAAACCTGTGATTTTTGTGTGTGTACCTGGCCTCATTTCTCTCACGGAGGCTGTGGCTTGTGCCCCTCTCTGCCCCTGAAAAGCCCAGAGCTGATGTTGCAGGCGCTCGCCGACGTCTCTCGGAACTTCCCTGCACACATCACATGAATATGGATTGCGGACATGACGCCAAGAAGGCAGGTAGCATTCTACCTTGTTTTCCTTTCACTCAGTTTTCACTGTATTTTCACTGACTCTTCTATTAAGCCACATGTGTACATCACCTTAAATAATCTCTGGCATGCATGATTCTATTAAAAAGGGTAACAGCCTTGGTTGGGGCATCGTCCTGTCCACCCGAGTGTCGTGGGTTTGATCCCCAGTCTGGGCACCTGCAAGAGTCAGCGGGTCAGTGTTTCTCTCCCTCTGTCTCAAGTTAATAAACCTATGGTCAGGTGAGATTTCAAACCAAACCAAACAAACCCTGACAGATAGCGTTCAGCCACCGCTGTGTGGGCGTGCTCACCTCGTTGGGGTGGAATCCATCCACGGGCTCGATGAGCTGCCAGGGCTGCCCGCCTCTCTGCTGCCACTTCTTCGTAACTGCAGGGCACACACACAGCCAGAGGGTTAGTGACACACCACCACCGCCACAGCGGGAGCGCAGGGACCGTGTGCGCAACGTCGTCGGAGCCGCCCGCTGCCCTCCCGGGCCGTGGCCACCCAGCCTGGCCTCCAGGGGCCATTGTCTCGGGTTCGGGGCTTTCTGAGAGGAAATGATCTTCCCGGGGTGTGATTTGCTTTCCCCCCTAACTCAGGAGGAGGACTGTGAGAATGCTGGGTAAATGTAGTTAGTTGCACAGTGAGGAAAGGCAAGCGCCCAGATATTCGACACCCATTTTAGTCCATCTCGTTTCCCAGTGGCCAGTGGGACAGGGTTGTGGGGGCAGGTGGGGAAATCAGACGTTTCAATGTCGCCTTTCACAGGCCACCGTTGCCACATGCTGCCTGCCCGTGGCCAGCCGTCACCATGAAAAATCATACTGTTCGTCCAAAATGTAATTATGTGAAATTATCTCAGTATCACAGTTAGAGTGAACAGGGCTACAGAGGAAATAGTTTGAGCTCCAAAGTGATGAAAAGCAATAAAACTGTCCTTCCATAGGAAATTTAAAATCTTAGAGAGCCTCCAGGGGGAAAAACGTGACCACCCCCCCCCACCGTCCCCTGGAGCGGCCCATGTCCTCACTTCCCCGGCGTCTGGACAGGGGAGCACGCACAGCTACAATTCCTCCGGCCCGTCCCTCCTTACCCCACGGGAAACCCAAGGACAGGCGCCTGTGCCCTCTTTGTTTCTCCCTCACTTGCTCCAAGGGAAGGAGTAGAAATTCTGCAGGGGGGCTTTGATTGGACAGAAGAAGCTGGACTTCCCTAGAGCTGAATCGATATTACTCTGCTTTTTTAATTAGCCCTAAGATCACAACCTGCCATCCCCACCTGCTACCCAGTCCCTGTCCCCGAGGGGCTGCAAGCCCTGCTGTCCTTCTCCGCGCTCAGGAGCGAGACCCTGCTGGTGGTCTGCAGCCCCCCACCCGGGGCCGCCAATGCGTGGTGGCGTGCCCCCTGGCAGGGTGCCTGCCGCCACGGAGACGCTCTTTTATATTTTGCATCTGGGTTTTGTGGGAGGTTGTTGGAAGCGGCAGCTGCTGGAAAGTGGCTTGTGCATTTCTTGGGGAGCTCAAATTGAGGACAATGTCCATGGCGTTCTCCCAAGGGAGACATCGCTCCGTGCTGGCGGAGGGCGCATCCCGCTGAAGGAGTGGAATGTGTCTGCTCTGCTGATGGGAAGCTGGGGGCCAGAAGGGTGCTGAAACCACAGGAGCGGTTGCGCAGGCCGAATGGGCGGAGCCAGCTGGCAGACCTCAGCACCTGTCCCCGGCCGTCGGTGCCCTGCACAAGGCAGAGCCCCGGGGAAGCTCGCCTGTCCTGGCTTCAGTGCGCCTGGCTGCTTTGCTTGCTTCGGAAGGGGAGACCTTGGAATCAGACCTTCTGCTGCAGGTTCCTTTCTGGCTGCTCTGCCTTTCCCTCTGGACCTGACCCTTCACGGCCCCTGTGGGCTCTGGCCCGCCCTCTGTGGGAGTGAAGGCTGTGGCAGGCGGTCCCTGCTGGTCCTGGTGCACCTGCTGTGCACCCACCAGTGCTGGGTTCAGCTCCTCTTTCTCCCCCTCTTCCTCGAGAGGATGGGCCTGTTTTCCCACGTTATAACTTCATGCTGACTCTCTCTCTGAGCCACCTCTAATCGGGACAGCAAGTGCGCGTCCAGGAAGCGCCGGGCACTTGCAAGTGCTTCTTCAAATGCAGAGCCAGTGTCACCCCCGGTCACCCGCCTCGATGCTTTTGTTCCTTTGCAGCATCAGCCTCATTGTCACCTGGCAGCCCCACAGGGTCCGTGAAGTCCCCCCACCCAGCAGCCTCCTAAGAGGTTGGTCTCCCAGTCCTCTCTGCGACTTCAGAGGTGACACGGCTTCCCTTCTGCCTCCGCTCCATTACCTCACCCCTATTCTCACCATCCTTTCTGTCCTTTCTCCGGCCTCTCCCTTTGCTTTTAGGGTGGTTTCACCTTTTGTGATAAAAATGTTAAAAAGAGATACCCTGGCTGGCATAGCTCAGTGGACTGAGCACGGGCTGCGAACCAAAGTGTTCGATTCCCAGTCAGGGCACATGCCTGGGTTGCAGGCCATGACCTGCAGCAACCACACGTTGATGTTTCTCTCTCTCTCTCTCTTTCTCCCTCCCCTCCCTCTCTAAAAAATAAATAAATAAAATTTAAAAAAGAGAAAGAAAAGAAAGCATGAACAAAAATCCCAATTGGCTGTTGAGTTCCCAGGCTACGGAGACAGTGGGGACCGAGCGCAGTGAGGACCGCAGACTGAGCCCGCTGAAATGCTAAGGAATCGCCTGAATAAAACACGAAGGTTGTATTAGAGAGGTGGACCTGAACCCGACCACCCACATGGCCTCTCAGGACACTTTCTGTCTCGCCGCATTTGCAGAGAAGGTTGAGTGACAACTTGGATGCAAACCTGTGTCCTCACTGGCCAAGAGAAAATTCCAAACAGAATGACCGCAATCGGGAAATGTGGAAACCCACAGTAGAAAGCAAACTAAGCCCCATTGGGGATGCGCGGTTTCAGCGACGATCGTGTTCCTGGAGAGGAATGTTCACTAGGAGCCCGATTTTGAAACAGTCAGACTTGCTTATACCTGACTCTTCCTCTAATGCAATTCAGTTTTGGCACCTAGGCTTAAAGTCAGTCTGGGCTCTTCCCATTTTGATTTGAATTTCCGGTGCACGTTGCTACCGACCACACTAAGAACCCTGGCCCTTGCAGAGAAGCAGAGATGGTGGTGGATGTTATATTTGATGGAACAAATGAACATAATCCAGCCATCAGAATTAGTGACTGTTTTTCAGAACGAGAAGGGATAATCATTCCTATGCCCCTTGGAGCAACGGAGTGATCCCGTAAGGTAGGGATTCTGAAGAGAAAACTGCAACCAAATCATAACGGAAAGAAGAGGGATATTGATATTGACCTGCTAAGTTCCGCAAGGCAGCGGGTACAGCTCAGGGCGGGGGCCGTGGGAGAGGCCCGCACTCTGTTGTGACCCCACCCCCTCAGTTCTAAAGGACAGCAGCGGTAACACATCCCTCTCCGATCCCCCGCCCCCGTCTCCCCCTCATTAGTGGGGCATTACGAGGGAATCCGGCCTTGAGAAGACCTGGCTTACATGGAATGCTCTGATGCGTACTCAAAGACAAGCCACGGGTTACCAAGGCCACAGTCCGTCTATTCACAGTGGAAGACATCCTTTTCGCACATGATCGCTGTGTTGACAAAGGTTGCCAGTTGCCACGTATTTGCAGACGTCAGTGCTAACACTTAGGAGAGTCAGTAACACAGGCGAGAGTGTAAGGTCTCACCTGTGTCGTGGCGAGTGCCAAACAGAGGGACCCTTTCTAGTTCGCGTATCTCGGGGTGGAATTTTGCTGCCCCTAAAAACTGCAATGCCAGACGGTGGTCTCTGCTTCTGCCCTGAGTGAGTGGACAGTGGGGGGTCCGCAGGGGCAGTAGGTTAGTTGGTGCGTTTCCTTCCCACCTGGGGCTGCCATTCAAAACAGGCAAATGTAGGTGTCCTGGGGTTTGGTCATAACGTGTTTTCCTCATCTGCGACGTCAGACAGACCCTGCTCATGACCGGCTTCTCAGCGAGGCAACGGAAATCGTGGAAGAAGGTGCATGCGACCCTTGGTGGTTCCTTGAGGAGCAGCAGCTCTCCCAGGCATTTAGAGAGAGAGATTAAGCCCTGGCTGGTGTAGTTCAGTGGATTGAGCACGGGCTGTGAACCAAAGCGTTGCAGGTTCAATTCCCAGTCAGGGCACATGCCTGGGTTGCAGGCCACGGCCCCCAGCAACCGCACATTGATGTTTCTCTCTCTCTCTCTTTCTCCCTCCCTTCCCTCTCTAAAAATAAATACATAAAAAAATCTTAAAAAAAAGAAATGAAAAATACTTAAAAAAAAGAGAGAGATTAGAATCCTGCTCAGCACCAGGACGTCCTGGGCTGTAGCACCAACAGACGCACTGGGGATCTAAGGATTGGGTTCACTCCAGAGGACTCACCCGTGGAAATGGAGGGTGGCGGGTGGTGCATTTCAACGGTCAGTGTCCAAGTGGCACCTTGCCAGCCAAGTGGCCTATCCCTTCCTCTCTTTGGGAGGGGTGGCACAGGCCAAGATCGAGGACATTCCCCACTCCGCTGCCCTTCCCTGAAGGGGGGAAGCCTTGCTACCTCTGTTTCATTCCTAACTAGCCAGAGGGTGAGTCAGCAAGAGGCAGGGAGAGCCCTGGGAGATGAGCAATCGATCACCTCTCGGGCCTGGCGGAGGCCGTCGGAGCGGAGAACAGATCGCTCTCGTGCCCACCCTCGGGGGACAGGACCCGCGACTGCAATGTGCTCTGTCATGATGTCACTGTTGGCATCTAGCTGATTATTCATGGGAGACGGGAGCAAAGGGAGCTAGACACTGAGCTTAATAAAGCAGAGAGCCTGAGCCCGCTGGCCTCACCAGGGCGCTGCAGCTTCTCACGCCCCAGGGGACCACGGCGCTGCCGCTGTGAGGACAAGAAGGGGCTGACAGGCACTGAGGTCACCAGCGGGACACCAGCCAGCGCTTGGCCTGGACCCTTCGGGAAGGCACGGCCTGTCCCGTTTTGTCGGCAGCTATACTCCCAGCAGCCGCCCCGCACGGAGGTGGGACTTAGTAAAACCCTGACGACTCCCTGGGGCACTATGGAGCCCCATTAATTGAATCGTCATGTGCCTATGGGTCATCTGTGGGGATTGCGCGAAAATGCAGATTCCCAGGCCCCGGTTAGGCGTGGGGCCTGGGGTTCTGCATTTATACGTAGCCCCCAGGTGGAGTGGATGTTGCTCGCCCCAAACCACACGGGGAGGAGCAAGGGTGTGACAGAAACGGAACTCTCTTCTGGGGGCCAGCAACACGCCAGGCGCGGCATTGAGGAGGATCGCACAGTATTTCGTGTAACCATGGCAAAGATCTGTTGCGTAGACATGGCCTCCTCGTTTTCACACCTGGAAGGGAGAGCTCCGAGGTGCTCAGGGAACTGCCTGGAATCCCAGAGACAATAAAGCAGAGAGCCAGAGGCTAGCTACCTTGGAAAATGAAAAAGTCCCCTGTGCATGGGAGCTGTTATTATGTCTTTAATAACTTTATCTGTATTCCAGGTTGATGCTGATCAAAGATCACTTGGCGGTGTGTCTGTTTAAGGCGGGAAGTCATTCGCGTGGTCTTCAGCTCCACATTTTAATGAGAGGCTGCTTATCAGCACGTCCCTCCCCGTGAGAGAAATGTGTGTCACCTGGCCAGGAAATCTAGTTGAGGGCGATTGGTCCTGTTGAAAAGACATTGGGAGTCGAAGGACTAGAGTCTGTGACGCCAAACGTGTCAGCTGATGTGACGTTTGCTACTGCGTGAAGGCCCCCTGCTAACCCCCACTGCTTGGGTGGGGGGGCAGCGTTGGTGGTGGGGAGGCGGCGGAGTCAATCTCAGGATGATGGATCATCTGTCCTTTGCCTGCTTCATCGGGCTTGTCATTAGCGTCACCTCCGAGGGCAGTCAGTCAGTCTGCAGGACGCTGTTTTCAGGGTCCAGATGGGAGGAGAAAGCCACTGTCGCTCCAGTAATCCTGGCTGTTTCTTGTGGCCACTGCTCAGCGACCCCCGTGTGTGGACAGCATGCCGGCAGAGGAAGAGTAATGTCCTTTCCGGGAGGCTGGGGTGGGGGTTGTCCACGCTGCCACAGGCACATGTGAGGTCCCTCCCACAGTGACTCTGATGAGTTCCTTTCTGCGTGGGGCCTGGGGTCCACTGTGTTACTGAGTCCCTAGGGACTCAGTTCAGTGCCCACCACCACGGGCGCCGCCTCTGCCTTCCACCCGGTCCCACTTCATCTTCCTGCGTGGGACAGGGCGGTTGGGACAGGCCCTGCCCAGTCTGCTCCCTGCCGGCCTCTATCCGCGCCCCCCCCGCCCCGGCTGGGGCAGCCTGTAAACAGGGCCCCTGCTTTTGTCTGGCGTCATTACCGAAACCAAGTGACACTTACTTTCTTGGAAGTCAAAATCCAGGTAGAAAAGGTCGAAGTTTGGAAATTTCTCGGTGGCTGCGATTTTTTTCAGCACGTTGGAGAGTTGTTCTGCTCTCTGAATGCAAGAGGAAGAGGGAGAACTCCATGAAATCTAGACTTCAGTGAGCCCGTTCAGGCCGAACAAGGAATGGGTGGTTCCCACCCCCACTCCGAAGCGCAGAGCAACCCGGCACACTAATTTCTATGCATGCACGAGTGGCCAACCAGCGTACAAACTGTTACAATTCATTAGCAACCGAATCGGCGCACATGAAAGTAATAAGACCCCACGTCCCCCTGTGGGGCTGGCGAAGAAAAGATGAACACTCCCGATAATGTCGAGGGGTGCCAGGGGAGAGGCCGTGCGGGATGTCAGTTTGTTTAACCTTTCTGGAGAGTGGTGCGGCAAGACGGGGCCAACCCTTACACACGGCATACTCTTCAACCCGATAATTTTTCTAGAAGTTTGTCTTAAGGAAATAGGCCTGGTGCAGAGATATACACACACACTCAGGTTCATCACAATGCCATTTATCACCGTGAGAAATTGGAACCCTTCCGTGTCCAACTGCAAGGGAGGAAATAAATCGTGCACGTGGAGTGCACTCTGAAATGACCGCAGAATTACGATGTGGAGGAACTGTTTAGTTTATGCAGGTCAGAAGGCATAAGGCAATCTGTGACTCTGACATTATGCAGGCAAAAAACCTAAAACATCCATCTGTGAAAGTAATATTGGAAAGACATGTATACACATTAACTCTGGGTAGTGAAATTTGGGGTGATTTTTTGTTACTGTTCTTTGTTTTTTTTTTTAATGTTCTCCAAGGTTTTTTAAAAATGGAAGTGTATTTGTAAAAAAACTTTGTGAAATCTTTTACAAAGAGATTATTCACGATCTGTGAAGGAACGGCACGACCTGTAGGTTTCCGTAGAGAGAGGGGGAAGCTCTGGAGGGCCCGGTCCTCCTTGAACTTGGGAGAACTCAGACTCAGGCCCTCGCCCCACTCACTGCTCTCAGCCTGAGCCGCCACACCTGGCTGGGGCTGGCTTTCACAGGGGTGTGTGTGCACCTGCATGTGCGCACATGAGAGAGACAGGCACACACACACACACACACACACATACACACACACAGAAACAGCGACTGAGGCCCAGAGGGGGCAGAAGGAGGGAGACAGGGCACCCCGCTTTCCCTCGCCTCCTCAAACCGCCCCCCCCCAGGAATTTAATGTCTCTATTCACCAGCTGGGAGGCTGCCCCTCTGCCCAAACCCTACCCCCAGTGGCAAACGCCCCGGCAAACAAAACAGGACAAGGGTGACCCGAAATGTCCTCAAAAGGCCGGTGACAGCCCTACCTTGGAAGTGAGGGCCCGGAGAGTCCCGTTGGAAGACATCCAGCCGTGGCAGGGGCTGACCTGAGGGCGGGAAAGCACCACGTCGGTTATTACAGAGAACCACGCGGTGGCGGGGGGTGGGGGTGCGGGGAGCGCGGCTGTGGGACGAGTCGGTGGCCACTCACCTGCAGGCAGCTGAGGAAGGCATAGAACTGCCTGTAGGTCACGTCCGCATTCAGCTGGCCTGGAAGACAGCGAGGGCGGCTTTGTCATGTGCGCTAGGATGTGGACGCCCATGGGGACCCTGATGCGTGACCCTGCCTCCCTGGCAAAAAGCTGGTGCCTCCAGGGACCTGCCCTGAGTGTTCCGTTGGCGTGGCCCTCGAAGAATGCCTGTGTGTCCCCCGTCTCTCTCCCCTCTTTCTGAGCCCCTAGAAATTCAGAGCCAGATTTTGCTGGGTGGGGGGCCTTAGGAGCTGACTTCCTTCTCCAGCGGTTGGCCTGGGCGAGGGCAGAGCCTCCCCTGACCTGGACCTAAGGGGGAGGACGTGAGGGCGCACGGACCAGAGCATCCCTCGCGATGCGCCCCATGAGCATTTCATACCGTTTTCCCGGCCGTGGTATGAAACGCCGAGTTCCCCGGGGGTGCAGACAGCATCCAGGGCGGCCGTCGACAAACCCTCATTTCTAAGTGATGATACCCAGGCCTGACCCACACGCATCCTGGGCGGGGCCCGGGTGGGGCGTGGTGCGTGGACAGCGGCTGTACCGTTTGATGAACTGCTGGCCTCCCCACCTGCCTGGGTGGCCGCTGGAGGGGGCGGGCCAGCTCACAGCGTCCCTGCACGGCCCAGTGCAGCCCTAAACAGCAGATGTGTGCTCCGTCCTCAGGTCTTGGTGCCCGTTCGAAAGGCACCTGAAAGCAAAGGCAGTGAGCACCCGAGGCCAGGTCGTCCGGAGTAAGCCTCACGCGCAGACGCAGGACCTGGGGGGCTTATTTCTTCTCGTCTTGCAGGTGCCCCCTCTCTTGCCCCCTCACAGCACACGCACCCCAGAGGCAATTCCACTTTCAGGCTGTGGCTGAGACACCAAGTCCCGGCTCTCCCAGACCTCGGGGGAGGTGGGGGGGGGTGACCGATGCTGCATTCATTAACACGCCTCTCACGCTCGGAAAAAATAAAGGAAAATCACAGGCCGCATCTCGGAGCGGAGAGGAGGATCAAAGGTGATGGAGCAGTCTTATTTTTCACTTACACCTTGGATCCGTTAGACCGAAAGAGAGATTCAATTTTCTTGTCATGGAAGAAAAATATATTGTCTCTCGGTGCGCCTGAGCGAATCCCCAGGCTGGGAAACCACCGGCCGATGATCGCCGTGGAAGTCCCGGTGACACGCCGGGCATCCTCCCCTCCCGGGAGGCGTCCTCCTGGTCACGGATGCGACGCATCCCGGCCCCCTGGCCTCCGCTTCCCTGCTCCGGGATCGACGCGGGGCCCCGAGCCCCAGCTTTCTGCAAGGTCCCAGCACTGGGCCTCTTTCCCTCTATTTTTTTTGTCTCTGCATTTTTTTTTATTTTAAAGATTTTATTTATTTATTTTTAGAGAGGGAAGGGAGGGAGATAGAGAGAGAGAGAGAAACGTCAATGTGCGGTTGCTGGGGGTTATGGTCTGCAACCCAGGCAGGTGCCCTGGCTGGGAATCGAACCTGTGAGGCTTTGGTTCGCAGCCCGCACTCAATCCACTGAGCTACGCCAGCCAGGGCTTTGTCTCTGTATTTTTTGTGATTTGTTTCCTTTCTGCTTGTGCCTCTGCTTGTCTCAGCCCAACCCGGCTGCACAGACTGAGACCTTCAGCCTCCTCCCTGCACCGTGGGTCCTCCCTGCACCCCAGGGAGTGGGCTCTGCCCGCCCCCCCCCGGGGCCACAGCCTCCCGCCTGCCCCCTTGCTGCTCTGCTGAGACTGTGGCCTGGTAATGAACCCCAGATAGCGTGGCTGGGACCCTGACAGCCGCCTGGCCCCGATGAGTCCCCTCTCCCTAACAGGCGTCTTCTCCCTCGTTCCCCTGTGCAGTGGCCAAACTCTTTTCAGCCTGGGGGAGGCAGCATCTCAGTGCGGCCGGAAGCAGCACCCCTGCGCCGTCCCCCTTCTCACCTCCACACCCCGGTCGGTCGCTCTGATACCTGGTTGGTCCTGCCCCTGGGGCTGGGACTCACCTGCTGGCTCCCCCGGGGTGGGGGGGTAAGCCCCCCAGGTCGTGTTTCACCCTGCTCCCTCCCCCTTCCTGCGGACCTCCTGCTGGGGTCCCAGCACACACCCCAGGGCGAGACCACCGGGTGCCCGGCCTCCGAGCCTTCTCCGACTCCCCGTCCCTTCCCCGCGGTCCCCCTGCCACGCTGGCACGGCTCCCACTGGGCCCCGGCGATAAAGGGAAAGGCCCGGTGGAGCAGGCAGGTCTGCCGAGCGGGGCAAGGCCCGGTCAGGTGCGGTGACAGGCAGCTGGGAAACCCCTAACACCATGGGCCCTGCCCTCTGGTGTTTCTGCCTGTGCGAGGTGGGGTGGCTGTGGTGCGGTCACAGGGGGACCAGTTGGGAGTGCTTGCGCTGGGCTTACAGTTTAAAGAAAGAGAGAAAGAGTTCTGAGGGCCATTGTTGTCATTTACTGTCTTTGAGGCATCACCGTCTGTCCCTGCTCCCCCAGCGGCGGGCTGCTCTGCCCGGAGGAGGCCTGGCGTGAAGGCTGCCCCTCCCCACACGTGGGGCCGGTGCAGAGGCCGGGTCTCCGGGTCCCTGGGTCCCTGGTCAGAGGTGCGTCTGGTGCACAGAGCTGGTCGAGAAGGACCAGGACAGGGTGGGAGGACTGTCCCTCTGTGCCCGGGAAAGGTAAGGGCCGCATGTGTGTGCATGGGGGTGGGGTGAGGGGTCGGGGGCTGGCCCTGCAGACACCCTGCGTCCCTCTGAAGCTAAAAGGGCAGCCCCTTGCCCCCCGCTGGCTAGAGTAGCGGCTTGTGTCTCAGCCATTTGCAGTTCTCTAGGGTTCTCTAGTGCAGGGCCTTTGGTATTTGTTTAATGCCAGGACCATCACTGAAAGTTTAGGCATCATAAAAGCCTGGTTCCAACAAAGGTCTATCACACTTCGTGAAATACCATCCGGGGTACCACTAACCCTGGTAAAAACACAGTAATTCAGACGGAGAGGAAGCCAGTGGTGAAATACACCGTATGCCACAGTGCATTTTGGAATACATTGTGTTTTAGGCGGAAGAGCGATCGGGGTAAAATGAGGGTGTTGTTGGTGTTTTGTGGTGGGGGTCCTTTGAGGAAGGCCCAGGCGCCCCCTCGACTGGAGCCAGCGGCCCCAGACGCCTCGCCCGGAATGTGACCCCGCAGGCAGCACCCCGATGCTCAGGGCTTGGACCGGGGTCACTGACACTTAGCAATGTCACTGTGGGATCTATATTCTGGTTTCCCCAGTGGGGCTGTCTTCGCTGTCTCCTCTGAGAACAAGAACTCCGCCTTAGTGTCCTCTTTACCCAACAAGGCACCTCTCGGGTGCCTAAACAGACATGTTTACGGAAAGACTGCCTTCCTCCTGGACTGTGCCTGGGGGGACTCGTCACTGGTCAAAGGCAGCCTGTCTCCAAAGGTCCTGCGGATAGCCCTGGCCCGATGGCTCAGTGGGCTGGAGCACTGTTCTGGGCACCAAACAGTCGTGCGTTCGATCCCCAGCCAGGGCCGTATGCGGGGGGGGGCAACTGATGGATATTGTTACCTCACACCAGTGTTTCTCTCTCCCCCTTTCTCTCGAAAACCAAGAAAACATATCCTCGGGTGAGGACTGAAAAAGAAAAGGAAAAGATCTGAGTGTGTAGAATCCTGAGGTGTGAGGCGTATTCTCTGGGAATTCCTCAAAAGGCAACACGTCCTTCCTGGGAACTGGGATCTCGGGTGGAGACTGTGGGGCTGCCCCAGCCCTCGGGGGCTGGACACCGACTGCGCAGTGACTCCCCCACGGGGGTGGGGTGGGCAGCTGAAGGAGGCAGGCCCTGGGGGTTCATCTCTCCCTCCGCCCGGCAGGAGCGGGCTGGGGACCTGGGCTTGCTCTGGGCCTCCGTCGCCTGCCGACCTGCTGCTGTGGCGTTTCACCTGTCTTTGCCGGTGGTCAGGCTGAGCTCCTGCCTGTCCCACCGAGGCAGGAGAGACTATTCCCGATCCAGGGGTAATTCCGCAGCCCCTTCCGCTCCCTGAACTCTTTCCTAACCCTTACGGTTGGCTGTCTGGGTAAGAGTGTCCTCGTCATGTTCCTAGGCTCAGAGACAGAGGTAAATTGGAACACCCCCATATTTGCTGACACACCCTTTAGCACAGGGCCTTGGGAATCAGACGAGGGTGTTGTTCTGCTATTATGAAGATGAGAGCCGTCCTCACCGAGGCAGAGCAGCCAAACCCAGAGGCTGGCCCAGCATTCGCCTGGGAACAAAGATCCAAAGATCGGATTTGCGGCGGGGGCAGGCCAGAGAGACCGCGAGGGCGGCAGCCCTCTCTACAAGCCCCTTGTGTTCTGTGAGCTGTGTCCCTGCCCGAGGGGGAGGGGCAAGCTGGTAAGTCCCGCCCACTCCCCCAGGCTGTCCATCAAGGACCCTGGTGCTTCATTGAGTAATTCATCCTTCATTTCCCATGGCAACCAGGCAGTGGGGATAATTTAGGGAATGAATAATAACTTAAAAACATTAAACACATTTTTGAGGGTTTCATCTTTCTTCCTAATTAGATTATTTTTTTTAAAAAAACAAGGGTTGTTTATATAGAACAAACTGGTTGCATCTTTTCCTTTTTCCTCATTTATGTGGTGAGATGCTGGCGCATGATTAGCAGTTGGAGAGAGGCCATCTGAGGACAAGGCCAAGCCGAGGGCAGAGTTTCTCGACCTTGAACGTTATTGGTTGTGGGTGGGGGGCTGTCCCAGGCATGGCAGAGTGTTTAGGACCATCCCTGGATTCTACCCAGTAAATGCAGGCAGCAGCCCCCTCTCCAGCTGTGGTAATGGGTGCGGGGGGAGGGGGCAGCCCCTGAATGAGAACCGGTGTCGTCCCTTCCAAACTGCACGGAATCATCCTTACATGCTGGGGTGGAGTCGAGTGACCGGTGTGGTACACCCGGAAGGATTCCCAGAGGCGGATGAATGGGAGACCATGGAAAGAGACTGGAGAGTAAAGCCAGAAAAGCCCCAAGTCGCGTCCTTAGGGGCAGGACGCAGTGAGTCGGACACACGCCTTCTCTGCCCCCAGCCCCCCAGCCCCCAGCATCGCTGCGCCTGGGTGTCCTGCCCGTCTCCAAGGGGGGCCTGGATGGAGTCGAGTTCTCCAGCATGTGATCACAGCGTCTCCATGGGGCACGGTCAAAGCCGTGTAGCCAGGAGGGAATGTGCCAGGCGGCGTTTTCCTTGGGTAACTGCAGAGGGAATGGCCTCGGTCTCCTGCCTGAGAAGCCTGGAGTGCGGGGGCCTGCTCTTGCGCTCCCCGGGGCCCTTCAAGGGCTGGTGAAAGGCCCCTGTCCTTGTCCTGGGAGGGGAGGGGTCAGACTCCCTGAGGGGGGGGTGTGTGTGTGGGGCGGGGGTTGGCTTAAACCGGCCTGCAGGAGGGGACAGGAGGAGAGAGATGGAGGAGACACAGACGAGTCACTGTGCAAGGGGAAGGAAGGTCTCCTGAGGAGGCGCTGAGGAGCGAGTTTCCGCTCTTCCCCTTTGAACCGCTCACCTGCCTCGGAAGAAGCTGCCTGGACCTCCAGCACCTTTGACCTTGGGCTTGGGTAAGGAGGGGGCTATCGCCGAACCAGGGAGGCGGTGGCCCCTTAAATGGAAGACTGGCCCAGGAGCTATCAATATGGGGCTGAGGAAGGGGCACCCTCCAGCCCCGGATTTTCTCCCAGGACACTTATCGTCCTCTGACGTGCTTTGGGAATCTTTTCACCACTGGAGTAAAGCCTTACGTCGGCGGGGATTTTTGACCATCGTGGGCACTGTGGGTTACCCAGCGCCTGGGGCAGTGCCTGGCACGTCACTGGCCCTCAATGCGTTTCTGAAAAGGCACTCCCCTCCAAAGCACAGAGGGAAGAGCCGTGCCACCCCCCGCTTACGTGACAATGAAGCACGCAGCACCCGGCAAGCTGCCGACCCTCCCTGAGCCTGCCTTTTGCTCAGCGTTCAGTGGGATGCCTGAAAACGTCCCTCTCACATGGGTGTTTTCCGGATCGGCACGGCAGCCCTTCCTAATGGGGACGACCACTCCTTTACGACGTCGTGCATCTGGAATGCTGGAGAGGCTACTAGAAGTTCCTGGGGGATCTCTGGAGCGTTTCAGAGCCAAGGACTCCGAGGGAGTGTCTCGCAGTCGGGCGCCCAGTCCGCGGAAGGACCGCAGGCGACAGAATTCGAGCTGGCCACCAGGGGGCGCTCACCATCGAGAGTCTGAGACGTCCTGCCCTTCGACTCCAGCAGGGCTTTCTGTCTCGGGTTTGGGCTGCGTCAGCACGTTCCTGAGTTTACCTTCAGTTCAGGGAGTTTCCTGACCTAGACTCGTACGTTTCAATTTGTCTTACTTCTTCATTAACTAGTTCTGCCCTCCCTGGCTTTGGACCTGGCTCTGCCCACCTTTCTGAATACTGACCTTTCGATCCTGCCTCTGGGGCTGTTCCCTTCATCATCTCTGATTCGTGGACTGTGAATGCCTTTGGGGTGTATTCTCTGTGGTGTGAACTATATACATTGGAACTACGTATTCAGGGACATCGTTAAAGAGTAGAAGTAGCCCTGGCTGGTGTGGTTCAGTGAATTGAGCATTGGCCTGCAAAGCAAAGGGTCGCCGGTTTGAATCCCAGTCAGAGCACATGCCTGGGTTGTGGGCCAGATCCCCAGAAGGGGGTGAGTGAGAGGCAACCACACATGGATGCTTCTCTCTTTCCCTCCCTTTCCCTCTCTCTAAACACAACATAAAATAAAATCTTAGAAAGAAATTAAATAGTAAAAGCAGCTTCAAAGCAATACCGAGAGGGTGGTATCTGTCGTGCAGGTTGTCCCAGAGAAAGGTCCCGTCTGGTAAGCCATATAGAATAACGTGGCTGCCGTTCGGCAGGTGGGAATTGAGGTACTTCAGAGTCTCCATGACCTTGGGATAGAATCGCTCAGGAGTGGTCATTTCTGGGACTGGATCAGTCTTCCTGTTGGGAAAAGAAACAGAAAGTATCTTACCAGATGACAAGGATAGGTACACGCACATTCTGAAGTTCCCCTCCAACCCCGACCCCACCACATGGTGGTAACTGGTGCTATTTGAAAGACAGTTCTGGCTTCCCGATTGCGGTGTGGTTGGCTGGGCCATGTCCCTGGTCTGGTGCGTGAGTTGTGAGAAGTGACATATGTCATGTGTGGTGGTATGAGAGCCTCCAGAAAGCTCTTCTTCTTTGCCATGGATGTGGGCAATGTTCTGGGCAGCAGCTACGTCACCACCGAGCCCTGGCACAGAGTCACATGATGATTTTTGATGGACATATCGTGTGAGCGAGAAGCCAACGTTTGTCGCTTTATGCTCCCAAGACTTTAGGGGCTGTTTGTTCCTGCAGCATAACCTCGCCCATCCTAACTGACAGACACCGTGAATGGAGTCTGGTATGGATTATTATTTGTCGGGCGCTTCAAGGTTGCAGCTTGGTCTTTGGCACTTGGCCCCTGTATTACAGCGCGGGAAACAGGATGTCACTGAGAAATGAAGTGGCATAATGTGCCCACAACATGCCCTCCTGTTCGACTCTGAATCTGAGCTTCCACCAGTCTCCCGACAGACTGCTGTTTCAGGCTGTCCCCCTGCGACGCTCCTGCCGGCGGGCAGCTCTGTGTTGCCTCACGGCTTTTCTCCTCCCGGCACCGCCGGTGCTCTGCAGGACGCTGGGAATTTTAAATTGCACTTTTCTCCTTGTTTCATAACAGGTAGCGAGCACAGAAAATGAAAGTTTTGTAAGTAGCTATAAAAGCATCAGCCTAAAAATCGAAGCGTTTAAGACCAAGATGGAAAATCGCAAGCGAGCTGAAAGAAATAAACTTTTCGTTTCAAAGAGGCATTTTTTTGAGCTTAAGCTGGTTGACTATTTTTCATTTGGTTTGGCAAAAAACAAAATAGGGAATGTGCAGGCGTCTTCTGGAAGTACCTCACTGGTCGTTCCATTTAAATTTCTTTCTTTCTTTCAAGCTGTGTTTCAATGGCAGAGGGTAAAGAGAGATGCTGGAATATGTGTTGGCTTTGACAGGTAAACCTATTATTGTTCATTTTTTTTACACGGTTGACTTTTGTACACATAGGATCACCTTGAGTTCTAATGAATACACTAACCTGCACTGACCTGGGAACGTGAATTCACTAAGATTCTCATTTGCCCGTTAGGCTCTAAATGGCCTGATGTTAAACGGAATGAAACAATGATTCATGTTGTTTTCTAGTTGAGTCCTCAAGTTCCAAACTTGCCGAGTGACCCTAGAATGGGTGGTGAATGGCATCCCTCAGAATGTGACTGTATTTGGAAACAGGGTCTTTGCAGATGTCGTTAGTGAAGATGAGGCCGTATTGGATGAGGGTGGGCCTAAACCCAGTGAACAGTGCATCCTTGTAAGAAGAGGAGGGGACACATAGACACACACGGGGAAGAAGGCCCCGTGGGTACAGAAGCAGAGACTGGAGTTGTGTGGCCATAAGCCAGGAACTGCAAGGGCTGCTGGGAGCCCCAATAGCACGCAGAGACAAGCGAGTACTTTCCCTGTAGGCCCTCCAGAGGGAGCAGGGCCCTGCCGACACCTTGACTCCAGAGTCCCAGCCCCCAGAGCGGTGTGAGGACTCATTTCTCTCGCTTCACGTCCCCCAGTTTGGGGCACTTTGTTACAGCAGCCCCAGGGCGCTTAGTGCCGATTCCGCACCAGAGAAGGTAGGTCCGTCACTCACAGCCTGAGCCCAAGGCCTGAGTCACGTGGGAAGAGGGGATGGAAGGAGGCTCCCAGGGACACCCACTGTTCTTTCTGTCAAGGGGGCTCCTACACGGAGGGACCTTTTCAAAATGTGTCAACATTCGAAGTAGACGTAACTCTTGACCTTGACGTTTTACTTTCAGGAAGGCGTCCTCTAGTAAAATTCCCACAAATGTGCAAAAATGTACATCTGAATGTACATATAATTGCAGCATTGCTTGGGATAGTGTGAAACTGGAAAAAGTGACAAAGGCCGCCTACAAAGCTGTGGTCCACCCACACAGCGATGTGCTCCTCGGGCACTAAAACGAACGAAGGAACTAGATAGACGTGGTGGTCGAGCATGATTGTGAATAAACTAGATGCCCCTGAACGAACTGTTCACTTCAAAACATTTAATTTTACACTAGGTGAATTTCACCGCAATAAAATAAAAATATATATAAAGAATAAAATAATCTGCATGCATTAGTGTAGGAAGACTGCTTCAAAGTATTGGTGATGAAAAAACAAATGGCAGAGTAGTAAGCATAATATTTCCTTTAACGAACATTAATAAGTGTGTAAGTTAGAATTTCCATAGAAAAATTCTGGCTGCAAATACACGGTCATGATTGGTTAGCTTGTAGCAACGTAGTGGGGGTGGCAGGGAGTGATTATGGGAAAACGTTCACTTCTGAAACTTTGTATTATTCAAACCTTTTACAGCAGATGTTACTTTGTAAGTAGAGAAAAATATAAATAAAGCAGATTCCCATATCATTTTCATTATCCTTTCTAAAGGAGAAAAACTGGACTCCACCTAAGCTTTAATGGGAGGAAGAGAAAACATTATTTTATGTCACTTCTCTTATACCTATTTCACTATACCTATTTGGGAAGAAAATCACTTCCCAAATTTCGATCCAGGTGACAAGGCTGACCACAGGTAAGGGGACCCCAGGGGCCAGTCTGTGACAGGCAGCGTGTGCCCATGCGGAGAAAGAGGCAGAACAAGCCTGGTGTGTCTGGGAAGCCGGCGGGAAGTCAGCTGCAGCTGCTGTTTGTGCTTCTGAACTATGGACTGGGTTGCTTGGACTAACAGGAAGGAAGGAAGTCAGGAAGGAAGGAAGGAAGGAAGAGAGGAAGAAAGGAAAGAAAGAAGGAAGGAAGGGGGAAGGAAGAGAAGAAGGAAGGAAAGGTGGAAGGGAGGGAAGAAGGAAGGAAGGAAGGAAGGAAGGAAGGAAGGAAGGAAGGAGGGAAGAATCTTGTCCTGTTTGAACAAACCCCAGCATGTACTAGGTTGGCCAAAAAGTCTGTATGTTTTTACCTGTAAAATAGAAGACACATTTTTCATTTTCACCAATAACTTCATTGATTTGGATATTTTGAATGGATTGGCTAGCTCCCATGTGGCAGAACATTGATCATTCTCCATGAATGTCTTGCTACCAACTTCAACTGGTCCACCCAACCGTGCACCATCGTCCAGTGAGAAATCTCCCGCGAGAAACTACACAAACCACTTCTGAAACGTTTGATCAGTCACAGCACCTTCCCCGTACACTGCACAAATCATCTTTTGCCTTTCAGTTGCATCTGTACCTTTCTTGAAATAATAGAGCATAATATGCCAAAAATGTTGAGTATTTTCTTTAATATTAAAATGGCGACACAAAAATTAAACAATTTTGATAAAAATTTTTTAAACGTAGCCCTGGCTGGTGTAGCTCAGTGGATTGAGCGCGGGCTGCTAACCAAAGTGTCGCAGGTTCGATTCCCAGTCAGGGTACATGCCTGGGTTGCAGGCCACGGCCCCCAGCAACCATACATTGATGTTTCTCTCTCTCTCTCTCTCTCTCTCTCTCTCTCTCTCTCTCTCTCTCTCTCTCCTTCTCTCTCCCTTCCCTCTCTAAAAATAAATAAATTAAAACAAAGAGAATGAAACTGGAAACCTTTAAAAAATTTTTTTTTAAACGCATGCTGATAGGACAGCTGTCACCATACACTCTAACAAAATTGTTTCAAATGAAGTTAAAGACAACTAAGAGCTGCTAGAGCCATTGTATGGAAAAAACTAAGCAACCTTTTTGGCCAACCCAGTGGAACAGAACGCTAAGTTCATGTTCTGTTTCCTCGGGAAAAACTATTCTCCTTTATGACTACTGGTCTCCCTACCCTGCACAAACGGCACTCAAAGGATTTGAGAAGAAGTTGCTTCTTCCCATTGGGGCAGAAGGCTGGGTGGGGCCTTGGCTTGATCTGCATACGCACAGGAGCTCCAGAGGCCCCTGACTTTGCAAAGAGAATCCCCCCCCCCCCCCCACCCCCGGCTGCCTCGCGGGTTTGTCCGGACCAGGAGAACCCGCCCAGAGGGACCAGGTTTTACATTCCCGGTGGGCTTGGAGTGGGGCAGCGGGAGCGACATGCAAGCAGGTTGGGGGTCTGAGTCCTGTCCCTTGTCACCCAGAAAGCCCCTGCATATGGCCAGATGACTTCTGCCTTTGTGTTTTTTTTTTAATTTTGTTTTTTTCTGTTGTTGACACAACAGCACCAGCACAAAGCAATTATGCTGAGTGCAGTCTCTTCAGCCACATAAAGGCAAGATAATGAGGAGCAAGGCTCCCCAACCCTGTGCTTGGTGATTATTTCGTGGTCAGAGACTCCCCCTGATGATGCACAAGGAATCTGAGCTAATTTGTACTCATGAGGAGGGCACCCCACAAACTGAGCAAGCCGGACCCCACACGGCTGAGCACTCAGGGAAATCCAGGGGGAGCCTCGTGCGGCTAACGGCTAACGGGACGCCCTCGGGAGTCTCTGGCCCAGCGCGTGCAGCTGCGTAACTGACACCCCGGGTCCGGGAGACGTCTCACGTGCAGCAGGGGTGCGAGGGGCGCAGGGACAGGTGGAGGGCTCCCCGCCTGCTGCAGGTCACAGAAGGTGCCTTCTGACTCTGCCCTGAAAAGGTATCTGTGCCATCTTGACCTGGGTACTCCTTCCTCTGGTGATTGCAGCAGGGGTTTAGTTTGAGTATTTCGGGGACCAGGGAGTCCCAGGGGTTTGGAAAGTGCCTCCTGGGCCTTCCCTGGTGTCCGAGGCCGAATGGGCTGAGCTGTGACTGTCTAACCCTTTCCAACCCAGGGGTCCTGGTGCCCGTGTCTGGCCCACTTTGTCACCCAGGTCTGCCTGCCCCCTCCAGTGCCCTGCGTGCCCCTCGCATGCCAGAAGCTGGGGCCTGTCACTCGGATGAAGGGGGGGTGCTTTGCCAGGCTTTCAGGAGAGAAATCTGAGAACCAGCTTGGGGGCCATGACGCTCACACCGGGGGTGGGGGCCGGGGATAGCGACAAGGGCATGAGACGTTGGTGTCCACCGTTGCACCCTCACGCCCGCCGGCAACACACGGTGGGCCCAGAACCGCCTGGCCCCTGGGGCGGCTCAGAGCCCGTCTCTGCCCTAACGAACCATGTCTGGCCATGCAGAACCCCTCCTGGCGTGGGAGCAGGGCCGCGATCACCCCTCACTCGGGCGGGTCTTCCAGCCAGACTTTCCCCAGCCGGTGCCAGAGAGAGAGGTGCCCGCGTCAAGGAAGAGGGCGGGCAGCCCCCGCGGGAGACACTTCCCAGGACCAGAGGTCCCGTGACCTCGTGCTCAGACCCCCCTCACACCAGCACGTGGGTCTTCCAACCCCCATCCCCCACACCAGTGAGAGAACTAGCCCTACTCTTCAGGCCGGCCAGTTGTCACCGCACCACTCACCTCTCACCCAGCGCCCCCCGCCCCCAAGAGGCCTCTTACACAGACTGGGAATGGGGCGGGGACTTCTGTGTGCTCACACTACCCCATGCGTAGCGATGCCGGGTCTCCTAAAAGTGGGTGTGGCCTGCTGGGCGGGAAACGTTCCCTCGGCCCTGGTGCCTTGAGGGAGGAGGCTGGGAGAGGGATTCCTCTGAGCACAGCCCTGTCACCTGCTTCGGGGCTGGTTTCTGCCATTTGATTGGGCAGAACGGGTCGTCTCCGGCTGTGTGGGCTCTTTGGGTCAGCTGCTCACCTGGCTTTCTCTTCCTACAGTGCTGCTATGCTGGCTGCCCAGGGAAGCAGTGGGGGGTGGGGACGGTGGGGGCACTGGGCTCTGAAGCATTGCCATTGCAGAAAAAACCGCTTGAAGGCCAGGGCACAGAGACAACCTCTGTGAGCTGGTGCTGGCTCTCTCTATGAAGGCAAAAATGTATGATTGATCATTTCTACATCCACTGTGAAAAAGGGAACCCTGTCCACTCTTGTGGCTACTGGTAGATGCCTCTGTCATTCTGTCACATTTCTAGTAATTATAATGATCTCAGTGCTATCGTGTTGGGATGTTGAGGATTCATTGTCGTCACCCTCTGTGATTTGAGGGACTTAAGGCCACTCTCTTTTCCCATGGCTGGCCCTGTCACCGCAGGACCTGCCTCTGAGTGCACTCACATTTGCCCTGTGGCCGGGAATTTCTCTCCTTCTCACTCACTCACATTCTGTAGGTTTTGTGGGCAGTGACCCTAAGTCCCGGGAGCTGGGTTAGCTTAGCCAGATGGAGTAGAGTTTCAACGAGAAACGTAGGTTTGCCTGGGTTGCCTTGCTTCTTGAATTCCAGACACTGAAAGCTGTCTTCCCACCACGACCTTCACTCACTGAACGAGAGTTCACTGAGTTACTGCGTGAGTTCAGAGGCTGAGACAGGAGCACATACATGATTGCATTATGTCAGCAAGAGCAAGATGGCGTCACTGTCAACCCGGGGAAGGAAAAGGTCAAGCCAGTATCCCCAAACTTGTCCCAGGACAGACTTCTTATGCAACCCGTTGCTGGAGCGAGCTTTTGATGAAGTCGCTTTGCTAGTTTTGGGTTATCCACTCCACCTTGACGTCCTGGCAGATGGGGCGGTGTAGTTGCCATCTGTCTCTATTTTTCTAACCCCTCCGCGGGACGTAGCAAAGTGGGCACCGCGGGGACATCCCGCGCTGCCAGCCCCGTCATTTTACCCAAATGCTTGCTGCTTCTCTGCCCAGATCCCGGCGGGGGGTGAGGGGGAGGCTGGCAGGTGTCTCTGGCTGAGAGCTGCCTGCCCTTGGCGCTCTGGAAAAGTTTGCAAAGTGGGCCTGGCTGGCAGGGCCTCCGGGTAAGCGGATTCTGCTGGAGAAGGGCAGCTGCAGGGCTTTGGGTCTGGGAGCCACAGCCCCCTCCTGCAGGCGTCCTGCACTCGGTGTAACTGGTCTGCCCTCAGTGTCCTCCAGCGGACCACGGGCCACGGGCGGGGGGGGGGCGGTGGGGCGCCGGCTGATCTGACCACAGGTTTGTTCTGTTTCGTGATGGGGCTGGAGGCTGAGGCTCATTGCTTCTCCTTCCAGAAGCTGCCTGAGGTCAGGGATGGTGGCCCCATTCCCAGTGTGTCCCAGAGCTGGCACATTGCAGGTGCCCAATGCCTACTTTTAAAAGGGATGCATGAAGGGGAGCAAACACGGGGAGTGTGGGGCGCAGGGAAGCGCTCAGAAGTTCACCGGAGAACCTCGCTGGGCTCTCAGCTTGGCTGCTCAGTGCTCGATGGCAGGATAAGCAAGTTCCTTCGCCTTGCAGAACCTCGGTTTCCTCATCTGTAAAATGGGGGCATCATACTTGCCTCTGGGGCTGCTGCGGGGGTGGATGATACAGCGAGTGGTGTGGCTCTGGGCTCACGGCAGGTCTAGGGGCTGTTTGCTCTTTACTGGCGAGTCCCAGGCGATGCATCATGGGGGCGGGGACTTGGGTCCCCGGGATGTAGCTGGGGCAGAACTGGGGTTCTGAGGAGAGGGGTAAACCAGCGTGGGGATTGCCAACGCAGGGTCTGGCATGTAAGCATTTCTGGATCAAAGTGTGATATCTCCTGCCCTGAATTCCCTGCACTGAGTAGGTCTACACCTCCTTCACCGTAAGAGCTCTAGGCTCTCGTGGAGGTGTCCGGGAGCGCAAACACTTCGACAGCAGGAACGGGGCCAGGAAGCGAAGGCCGGGCGATAGGCAGGAATCCCTACCCCCAGCGCTGCTTAGGGCGGAGCCCAGCTCCGTCAACAATCAGTTCATTGGGCAAGTCGTGTCACCTCCTTGGCTTCGCGTCACTGTTTTCTAAAATGGAGATCTGGTGTCTTTTTTTTTTTTTTTTTGGCCGTGATCACAGGACACATGACATTTATATAAGCAGCGTACTCTTAGGGGCAGGCACAGATTTTGAGAAATCGCCCAAGATGTTGTGAGGGGGATGAAGTCAGTCAACATTTTGGAATCTCTGCTGATATTAGCAGGTTAGCACAACGAGGTTCTCCTACGGGCCACGGGTGTAAACAGGACTGGCTGTGAAGTGTGTGTAGCGTCTTTGCAAACGCTCCGAGTCTGTGGTGTCTCTCCCACGTGTGTGTGTGTGTGCGAAAATATGGGAGAGAAAGCTGTTCTGAGGGGGTAGCTGTGATTCTGCCTTATTTTACTTAAAGAAGTCGTGGGTCTCTGTCTTGGATTCCCGGCTAGTAGAAGCATATTTCTGGTGACAGAAGTCAGAGCTGATCTGACACACCTGTTTGTTGTGAATCAGAGCAAAGAATTAATGGATTAAAATGGCTTTTAAAAGGGTCTTTCAAGCCCTGGCTGGCGTAGCTCAGTGGATTGAGCGCGGGCTGTGAACCAAAGCATTGCAGGTTCGATTCCCAGTCAGGGCACATGCCTGGGCTGCAGGCCACAGCCCCCAGCAACCGCACATTGATGTTTCTCTCTCTCTCTCTTTCTCCCTCCCTTCCCTCTCTAAAAAGCAAATAAATAAAATCTTTTTTAAAAAGGGTCTTTCCGCTTTGCGGGTTGGTTCTGTTGATTTCACATGTTTCAGGCTTGTGAAGATAGAGAGACATTTAATGCAGCAGCAGGCTGGTGGGGTGGAAGAAAGAGGGGAACCCGGAGTCAAAGAACTGTCCAAACCGTCTTTCTTAATAACTCACCCGTTGCAGACGTCATTCCCAATCATGGCGTATATGACGATGGCCGGCTGGTCCAGCAGGGGGTTCCTAGACAAACTGAGAAGCCACAGAGGGGATCTGAGTGTCAGTCACTTTGCAGCCTAGCTTTGTAGCCAGCCTCACAGGCTGGGCCTGTGAAAGAATCTTTGCATGCACCCCCCTCCCCCTGGCCCTCTGGGGAATTTTCCCCATTTTTCTTTCATTCTAGTTATCACCATTCTGACTCCTCCCTTTCTTCTCGATAATCTTTAGCCTACTTCCCGTGAGGGAAAGGCCCCGTAAGTGTGTAGAACTGCGGAGTGGAATGACGGGTCCAGCGGGGGACACACCACCATGTCCCGGCACCTTTCACAGCCTTTGTCGTCAACACGCGCAGGTGGGGTACCCGGGTTCCTTATGTCCAGGTTCCTAAGACATCCTGTGGGCCTGCAGTCAACTCTGAAAAGTCAAGGGTCCCCCAAGGTTTCCGTTCTGGGCACCCAGGGCCGTGCTTCTGAATTTTAGGCCCAATGTGAGCACAGAATTGTTTAAGCAGGAATACGAAATAATCCTTTCTGTCTTTTTCAGGTACTGAGCCAGATCTAAGTTTCACCCTCTTTGTATGTGTTTTTGCGGTTGTTCCTGAAGGGCATGTGCAACGTAACACCGCCCACGCTCACTGACCCAAGAAGGGCGAATGTCCCAGTGTTTTCAGAGAGTGGCTAACCAGCCACCGACGCCCAGTGCAAGGGATGATGGGGTGACAGTGGGGTTTTCATTCATTTTTAGAAACGAGAAGCTCCATTGAAAAACAACTTCTTATGCCCCTCTTCCACTTACCTTTTTATAAATTCCTCCAGGTTTTGGGAAGATGCACCTGAGTAATGAAAATGGAGAAAATAATGAACATCCGTGAGGTCAGCCCAGCCCAATGAGCGGGAGGCCTGGCGGTCTGAAACCGTGGAGGGGGCATGGTGGTGCGGTCAGAGGTCGTCCGCACCCTCGTGCTGATGGGGACAACTCTGGCCCGGAACTCTCCCCGGTGGGTCTTAGGTTTCCTGGGCATTATATTAACGTAACTCTGGAGTCTTTGGATTTATGGGTCTCAAGACATTTTCTAACATGAATGGGGAAACTTGCTGGTAGCTGTAAGAAAAAGGTGTATATCTAGCACCAGGGAGAGAAACTACCCAAAAGATTAAGGAATGAGTTGAGGGAGGAGAGGAAGCATAGAAAGGATTCTTTGAGATGCACAGATCTCCCCAGAGAGCCTCAGGGAAGTGTCGGCTGGTATCCCCGCCCACTCCCGAGGCCCCGCCTGCTGGCTGGCCTGTGCCAGGCTCAGACTGTGGAGCTGATGTATTCTTTCAGCTCCTGCAATGACACGTACGCCCCTCCTGTCCCCCCCCCCCCCCCACACCCCTGTTACTACCTGCAATGTATCTTTTACGGAAAAGTCAAGTTATTGAGTCCTCATGTTATTGTAGACACTCTGCGAAGCACTTCATATGATCAGTTCATTGAGGCCTTAGCACAACTGTGTGATGCAGGCACATCAGCAGCCCCACTTTACAGATGAGAACACTGAGGCTCACTGCAGTGACTTGCCCAGAGCCACGTAGCTAATAACATGGAGCGTTGCAATTCAAACCGCGTCCCTCCTGCCTGCCAGGCGGAGCTCTGGCTCCCTGCGGGACACTGCTTCTGTAGGGTGGGGGTCTAGAAAGAGTAAACCTATGCAGGTATTCTTTGTCCCTTGGAGGTGGATCTTCAGTAATACATGAGTAATTCTCAGGTGGGAGGTGCAACTCCAGGGACCGGGAAGATGGTTCTGTAACTGCCAGGCTCGGAAGGCTGGGTGGCAGGTGCATTTTATGACAGAGCCGGTGCTCGTTCTTACAGAGCCACACGGGACAGAGGCCGGTGCACAGCTGTGGGGAGCACGCTGGCCCTTGCTCCTGGGAAGCTGTGTGGCCACGCAGCGACCGCCTCTTTGTCACAATGCAGCTAGATGCAATCTCTGTGGGCAGCTCCTGGCTGATTCCAGAGTGTGACCACATTAAATGAGCATTGCTTTATTTCCTTGTTTTACATGTGGTAAAAATCCAGCACCCAAACTCGACCAGTTCAACCATTTTCAAGTGGACAGATCCGTGGCATTAAGTACAGTCGTACTGGTGGGCAGCCATCCCCACTGTCCATCTCCAGGAGGTTCCCATCATCCCACACTGGAGCCTCAAGACCATTAGAGAGTAACTCCCTGTTTGCCTCCCCACCCCAGCCTCTGACCACACCGTGCTGCTTTCTGTCTATGAGTTTAAACTGTGCTAGGTGCCTCCTGTAGGGGCAGTCACACAATATTTGTCTTTTTGTGTCTGGCTTATTTCAGTTAGCCTAATGTCTCCAAAGTTCATCTGCTTGGAGCGTGCGTCCTTTTAAAGGCTGACTAATGATCCACGGTGTGGACACACCACATTTTGTTTGTCTGTTCACCTGTCGATGGGCATTGGGGTTGTTCCTACCATCTGGCTGTTGTACGTAACGCTGCATGACCTGCTTTCAATTCTTTTAGGTGTACACCTACAGGATTTCTGGCCACATGGTGATGCTGTGTTTAGTCTTTTGGAGGGACCACCATACTGCCTGCATTTCCTTTGTGTGGGGAGGCAGGGCGTTATTCAATGTTCAGAGCCGTCCGCTCCTCTCCCATGTACACCTTCATCCGCCCTCTCCCTGCGTGTGCTGAGCACCTGCCACGTGCCTGGCAGAGCGGGGAACTGGCAGGTGAGTGGACGCAGCCTCTGTCCCAGAGCCATGGTGTCTATCGGGAGACACGTGATTGAGTACTGGTGCGAGGCGTCAAGCAGATCCAACCCCAGGGACCGGAAAGAGGAACACCCAAGAGACTCGAAGGGATTTGAGTCTCTTATCTCTGCTCAGAGAAGGTGCCAAACTGAGTCCTAAGCGTAGAGGCGCAAAGTGTTTCTGGGTGTTAGACTGCTCCCTGCCGCTGTCAGCAGTGAGGAGGCAGGGGGCGGCCACCGATGGCTCCTCGTGTCCTCGGCTGGGCCCTGCATTCAGTCCCAGCCCCAAGCACACACCTCCCGTTTCCAGTAACATAACAACAACTCGACAGGTGTTTCATTCTCACTCTTCGATCTGTGTGCTAATGAGAAACGAAAACTAATAAAAGCTCAAGGACCGGGCCAGGCCAGTGATTTTCCTCATTACCCAGCGGACAGCTGGGGATTTGAGGTGCAGCTCGCCCACGGGGCCTGAGGGAAGGAAAACAAAAACCTGTCGTGGCGTGCCGCCTGCTCAGCCCCTCCCGCGGTCCGCAGCACCCACACACCCCTCTGCCACTCGGGACGGGGACGGCGGGCCAGTGGCCCCTGTCGGGGCGGATTTGAAAACAGCAGTCACAGACATCCACTCAGGAAGAGAGGGTGTGCCTACTCCTCTCTACCCAAAAAAGTCTGTATTTCTGACATGAGCACCGTATTGTCTTTGCTCCGAAGCTGTTGCTCCTCCCAGGATTTCCACGTCCTCTTAGAAAGTTTCACGTTTTGAGATCACATCATTAGTGTATGTGATTCCCACTCACTTGCTCTTCTTGGTCCCCCTGTCCTGTGGCTCCGCTGCCCTCCTGCCAGACCCCCTGACAATTCTTTCTCCCCGCCCCCCAGTCTCCACCGCCTTTCTCCTCCTGTCTCTAGACGTCTCAGCTGCCGGCTCTGCCGCAGCTGCTGCTACCCTCCCAGGAAATCCGTCCGGAGGCCGTTGGCCTGAGACGAGGGACAGACGTGGGAGAGGCGGCCCCCGGCCTGCGGGAGGCGGCGGAGCCAGGCGAGCCTTCGGAGAGCTGGCCCCACCCTGCAGAGGGCCACACTCCGGTCCTCCCGATTATAGTTCAGAGACGTGGAAAAGGTGACTATGACTATGACTATGAAACAGGGCATTGACTCTACATGTCAAGGCAGTCCCATGGAGAATGACCTGCTCCTAACCAAAGAAAGAAGGGGTTCTTAGGGCCGTCAACATCTGAACTCTGGCTCCTCCTGCTCCTTTTAAATGTGGCGTAGTGTGTTACAGGAGAGAAGCGGGTTTCCTGTGGCCTCAGTGAGGCCTGTCCTTCCATAACTCAGTTCCAGCTCACACCCACACCCCCCACTGCGGGGCCGGTGCGGCCCGCGGCACCGAGCGCTCCCCGGTCTGTGCACGCAGCTCAGCCGGGAGACAGGTTCAGGGGTCTTCTAGGTGAGCCTGCACCGTCCATGCTTCATCCAGAGCAGGTGTTCGGTCTCAGAGTCTCCATGGAAAGACACGGGGTGTATTTATATGTGAGTGCAATAAGTCTTCGTAAAGTAAGCAATTCATTACTTCGGTAACACTTATTAAGTGCTTACTATGTGCCAGGGGTTGTCATAGATGCTTGGGGACACGTCAGTAAAAAGCAGCTGTAGTCCTTGTTCTTAGGGAGCTCATGGTTGCTAAACCAGTGACGAACAGGGAGTTTGAGGGACTCAGAGACGTCCTCAGGAAGCGGTGTTCAGCCGAGCACTAAGGGGAGAGCTGGCGCTCCCTTTCTTGAAGCCCCAGGGTGAGAGTGTGTTCATTCATCCCTGATCAAACGCCTGATGCTTTGTGCACACGCCCCGGGAACAAAGCTCTGGTTTGACGCCATCTCTGGGAGCACCGTCTGGCCGGGGCAAGGGCAGACCCAGGCTTTGAGAGGGGGAGCTTTGGTAATCTGGGGGTCCTCTTTAAGAAAAGGAAACATCGCACGCAGAAATGACCCCTGACCCAAGGGAAAGCCAGAGGGAGAGGAGGCAAGGCCTTGGCCAGCTGTGGTCAAACGCCCTGGGCATTTTGGGCACGGCAAGGCTCCGAGTCTTGCACGTGTGTCTGGGCAGGCAGTGGACCTGGTTGGGTCGCACGGCGGCACGTTCTAACCTGCCTTCCTTGAGGGCGCGATTTCCACATCAGGCCCTTGTTCGAAGGCGTTGAAGGCGAGTTATTTGGATTGGTCTCGTGTCTGTGCTGTTGAGTGGCCCGTCTGGGGCCTGGGCCGTGTCTGTGTCTACGTTCAGTTCTCCAAGTCTCTGGTTTGCTCTCCAGGGTCAGATCCACGCGTGTGCGGCTCAGGGAGAAGCCCGGAGGTTTATAAACGACTCCATGGGACTGCCTCCCAAATCTCCTCGGTACTTTCTGGTTCCCTGTGCTTCCCTCCTCGGTCCTAGTGCCCCAGCTTTCACTCCCTCCCTCTGCTGGGCACCTCCCACACATCCACTCTTGGTCGGCCGAGCCCCGGGAGGAGAAATTCAGCAACAGGGCTCGCTTGCTGCACCCTCTTGAGACCACGGCTCTTCCCGTTGGAGAGGTGCCCCACACCCTCAGAACTTTAGGCACCTGCATGTCCCCACTGGTGCCACTGTCACTGCCAGGAGACCCCTTTCCTGCCTCCGGAGTGAGAACGGGAGGGTTTCCTCTGACGCGATGTCTCTGTGCCACTGTCTGCACCTCGAGTCTAGGTCGGGAGACAGCAGGGGACAAGGCAGTGCCGACCTCACTCCTTCCTGGGTCTGGGTTTCTTCTTCAGCGCACCTGCTGCACTATTTACTCTCCAGGGCCCTCCAGGACCTGCTCTTTACATTCCACCGGGCTTTCTGGCTGTGGCCCAGACAGGGTCAGGGGCGCGGGCTCCCCTGTGCCCGGCACCAGAGACCTGAGCGCATTACAGAATGTACAGAACGTTCGTGAAAAACGTGGTGTCTAGCGCTGACCTAAAATAAACCTAATGATGTTACTTAACTCTCATTGGATTTACAGTAATGCAGCCTTGGCTTGTATTTTCGAACTTGACGAAGCACTTGGAAG